TGATCAATGTATTTTGTGACAGGGGGTTTTTAAATTAGGGCTGAATGGTTTATCTGAATATTTTTCTTAATGTCGAGATGATCACTTGCATGTTTCGTGCTTCCAGTGGGCTCTTCAATCCTGGAGCAGTACCATATGCTCCTGCTATTAGAGATGTTTAGAGAGCATTGTGTAGGGTTCTTCTTAGGGCTGCTACAGGGCAGGCAGACTTGTTGTAAAGGCTTTCACAAAGAGCAAAAGTAAAAACTGTTCAGGCTTTCTTAAAGTGTATGTAAATGCCTCTGAATCCATTCATTTGAGTAGTTTTAATGTCTTTAGTTCCTTGAAATGGCAAATGCTGCCAATAGAGTGGTCTACTTCATTGACCTACGCTGTCAGATTAGCACTGTCATTCAAATGTGCCTTTTGTGACAGTTCCCTAGATGAGAATTTATTCTCATTATTGTATTTATTTCCTTGACAGCCTACACAAGCTCTGAAGAGCAATTAGGGATTATTTTATGTATTTCTCTTATGTTACACCTGTCTGATTACAGTATTTATGTTCCTTTGGAAAGTGAAACTTCATCAAAAAGGAACGTTTTCCTAGGAAATAACTGTTTCACTATGCTGCTGAGGAAGGTATTATCTGAATAACGTGGAAACCTCTAGCTAGCAGAGTGATAGGTTGTAAGTGTAAAACATGGAGATGCGATTTACTGATCCAGTTAGGTAGGACTGCACTCTTCATGGGTTCTTTCTATTGCCACTCCTGAATGTAAGAAGGGAGCAAATACCACCTCATGTAAGAAAGTGTATTCTTTTTCTGGCCAGTTATAGGTTATCATTGTTGCCCTAATCCAATTCACCTGACTGGGGGCTCACATAATATCCCTGACCACAGACTACTTTTACAAGCTCCACAGAGATGCTGAAGGGGCATTTTGTCTTTCAGGTTTCAGTCTTGGAGACTTCAGAACACAGAGAAGACTTTCTGTATGCTTTTGTTCTTACAGTTAATAAGTTTCTGCTAAAAAAAATTATTTTTTTTTAATTGTGATGACTGGCAGCTGTTTTATAGCCTTATAATCTTCTCTATACCTTCTGCTGTGATGCATCTCCAAGATTGCAATCAAATAATTTCTCAGTGTTTTGTCAAACAAGATTGGACTACTGGAGGAATTAATTATCAGATGGTAACTTGAACCCCTATATAACAGTTTAGATCTTCTCCATGGTTTCGGATTTGTTTGCTTGGTTTTTTATTAATCTAGAAGGGAGAAAAAACCCCCACTTCTTCACAACCATGATCATAAAAGTTCTGGGTCTACTCTGAACTACACCATCTGTAGTTAACAACTTGCAGGACTGAAAATTTAATAATGAGTTGTCTTTGAACTTGAAAGTAGACTTGTCTGTGAATGAGCTCGGTCTTATACTTCTCCAAGGGAAAAAGAACATTGCTGTTAGAGCAGGTTGACCAGGGAGTGGGGACAAATCCATTTTCAGAATATGTAGGAGAAATGTGTGTGGCATCACTGCTTTGATTTCAAGCAACCCAGAGAAGTGCAGTGTATGGGAAGGCAGCTGGTTGAGAACAGGGTTTGGACAAGCACAATTTGGGATGAGCCATACATTTATGGTGCCTCTAGGTTTAGGGAAACCACTTCTCAGCCTCCCTGAGTATGAGGGGGCTCGTGGGCCTTGTAAATAGATGTTTTATTGCTTTCTAGTAATATATTGATTGCTGCTTTTCCATTCTGACCTTGTTGCTTTTCCAAGCTCTGTGATCTTTAGACTGCATCAATGCAAGTTTTTTTGAAGCCGATGATACAGATCAGCTTGCAGCTCCAGATAGGAAAGGATGTAGCTGTTTGCAGCTAACACAAGATACAGGCAGGGGCTTGTTATACCCCTCTCCTTCTCAGTACGTCAGTTCTTTAAATGCACGGTCTTTATTTTGATCAATTATCTTAACTGTTTTTCCAGTGTCTTGTAAAGCAGCAGCATATGGTGGAGGGCTGTGTGTGTGGTTGAGGTGGGATGCAGTTTTCTGAAATCCATAAGTTACCTGTGTGACCTTTCCTGGGTACAATACAGCACCAGCAACAAAGGCAACTGTTAGTATAGCAGCTATCGGTTAGTTGATTTTAATATCTAAAGAAAATGCACAGTAAAAACCTTTTGCTCCTCAGTTGAGACTTGAATAAATTAATATATGTAAAAACTTTAAGAGCAATGGAAAAGAAATTTTAACCAAATCCATCTTGCTACTCTAGTTTTTTAAAATACAACTTTAATAGACACATTAAAAATTATAATGGTGATACGTCTTTTTATGTCTTCTGGTTTTGTTTTTGTTTTTTTTTTTTAAACTAGGTTTAAGAACTTCAAAGGCTGTTAGTATTTTGTGGTTTAATATTGATATCTGATAATTTGGAAGTAGTGTGTTAAAACTGCTCATGGGAAAGTATCAGTTTTGCTTGAAATTGAACATGGTTGAGAGACTTGCATTCTGATGGCCTAAATTTCTGAAATTTAAAAGTGTGTTTGTATTTAAAATGAAAATATTTTAGTTACCTGTTGAAATCTTCATTTTCTTGAAATGTTAGAGGAATAGTGTCAGTTATTCCCTGATAGAGTTTTAACTCTTTGAAGCTTTTTGGGGGGATGTTCAGCCATAACCTTGTTATTCAGATGGCTTCAAGTTATTTTTAGGGTACCACTTAACTGTTTTTGGGCAAGTTATGTTTTCTTTAATATTTGTCACATCTTCCTCGTCTTGTTTGCTTGAACTGTAATATGTTTTGATCAAGAAGTTTTTCTGGTTATGTATATGTTTGCTGCTTAGTACAGTAGCGTTATAGTCTTAATCACACATGCAGTTTGCAAATAAACCTCTTTTTAATATTGGCATAATAAACTAATACTAAGCTTCAATTTAGTGTTAGACTAGTATGAGCACTTGCAGATTCAGAACTGTTGGTAGAGTATGAAGGTGGTTGAATTAAGCCCGCCTCACCATAAAATTACTACCACTGTTTGAAAACATGGTAATATCTGAGTTATACTACCACTAAGTTCAATGGGAAAAATCTATCAGCTCACAGGAAGCAGGATTAAGAAAAAAAAAATGTGTTGTTCCAAAAAGCATTGTTAATTTCTAAGTGGACAGAAGAATTGTAGTACTTTTAGATGGGTGTGTAATTCTTTACTCTGTAGGAAGTCTGGTTTGTTGATCCAGATGTTGTTCAATGTCTGAAATATTGCCCTTAATTTTTCTATTTTTTTCCTCTGGATACAGATTGAACTAAGTATGCATTGAAATTTAGACATGATCATAACAGGCTGTTTTTTAGGCCACTCTGAAGGAAGGAATTTGATGGGAACTGTTCAAGTATTCCGAGAATCAGTCTCAAGGGTGCAGGGTTAAAGAACATTTTGAAAATGTAGACCATGAAGAATTTAATTCTGTAATAGCAATATCAACTTTCTGGATAATTGCTGTAGTTATAGATAAAATATGTCTTAGGGATTCTTGGCAGACTTACTAGTAAGGGGAACAACAGAATTACTTTCAGCAGTGTGCTAAGGGCAAGTCAGTCTGAAAAATGTTTGAAGGGAAAAATATGCAAATAGGGCATTCCACTGAAAACATGCATAAACATTGAAAAATTCAGAAGAATACACATATATGGCACAAGCTGATTAGAAAGAAGGAAATGGAGTAAATTGTTCTTTTCCTCCAGACAATTTGTATTAAAGTTTAAGTAACATTGTGTCTGTATATCTTTCTCATTTCTATCCTATGTTGCTATCACACCTTATTTTATATCTGTGTTTTGCATTATAAGAGTATTTAGTGTCTGTTTATGCAACAAAACCGCTGCCAACACAATGACTGTGGCAGAGATTTTCAGCAGGAATGGCTACACCAATGGTCAGAGCAGTGCAAGCTAAGCCAGTAGAACATTACCCACGTCCTGGATTTCAGCCTCACAGCAAGGGGTGTAATAGGTGTAACTTTGATTGCTTTTCTAAACATTTAAGTAACATGTTGCCATTTTGTGGTGTTGACCTAACATTTGTGAAGTGTTCCTTGTGTACTTGCTTGATACTCACCTTCAAAATGTGTAATGTTTGTATGGCATCCCCATGACTCTCCTTGGGAATCTCAGTAACAGACCACAGAGATGAAGTACCTAAGTGGCAAAAGGATTGAAGTGACAAAACTAATCACAGCTGGAAATATACAAGTCTCTTTCTTAAATATTATAATATAAAATATTTTAATAGTAGAATAAGAAAAAAAACCCTGTATCCTTAAAGTTTTTCCAGGAGGCATGGTTAATTTTTTCATCCTCAGAGGATACTTAAGTTGTAGAAAGTCTTAGGAATTTAATTTTTTTTAAATGTCGAGGGCAAATTGTTGATAAGGCACAACCAATGTATTGCACTTTAGTGAAGCAACTAAAAGATCAGCCTTGGTGTAAAACTACATCTATTTATCAACTTCAGCTTATTTCATTTGTAGATCTTCAGATCTGGGCATTACATATGAAACTAGTTCTGACTGCTGCTCCTTTTTTCTCCCCAACCCTCCTACCTCCCCCAATCCTGTTTCTTCTGTGGACCCGTGTAGTTGAGGACATATTTGTGTTGCGTAACTTTTGCTTTTCTAGGTTGGGGAGGTTTTTTTGCCTTTTTTTGAGAGGCAATGGTAGTTTTTTTGGTCTCTGTTTAAGAAGAGATAGTATCATGATATCTATCTCACCAAAATATCTAGTCACTTTGGAAGAAATGAGATTTTGGTGTAGATGCAGGCAGCTGGATAAGGAAACTAAAGTGATTAAGTGGAGCTGTTGCTACCCTTGCATGCTGTTACTATTTGAATGTTGAAAACACTTATTTCTTAGTCTTGCTTGGGGCTATTTTTGTGTTTAAATGCTACTTTCAAGTAAACTTTTAATACTGTCACTTATTTTTTCTCTCTTAAATATCTCTTATAAATCTGTTTGCAGCTGGGTCTCGGGCATCTTACAGCAGCCAGCACAGCCACCTTGGCTCCGAGTTAAGGGCACTGCAGTCTCCAGAACACCATATAGACCCTATTTACGAAGACAGAGTTTATCAGAAGCCCCCTATGAGGAGTCTCAGCCAGAGTCAGGGGGACCCTCTGCAACCAGCACACACAGGCACATATCGCACTAGTACAGGTAAGTGGATGTAACTTGTATGTGTCTTCTATGACATATATGTTTTTCTTCAATACTAACTTCTTCTCTTTCTGATGTGCTAGCTGAATATATTATGTGCGTGCCAGTCAAATAAAATACCTTTTGCAGATGGCAGCTATCAATAGAACCCCAAATACGTGCACAAAACGGAGAAATACTAAATGTGCTATATGTACGGTCAGTTAACCTCATTTGGGGAGGGGGCTTACTCCTAAGGAGAGAAAATATTTCTATTAATCTGGTATTGTCTCTGAAGAAATTGCTGAGGTTTTTTTGCTTACAAAGGTATTTTGTGTGTTACAAAGGGACAGCAAAGTTTCTTTCCACATGAAGCTAAAGGATTGGTCTCTTGCTTTCAAAGTAAATCATAAGCAAATGTTCTTCCTCTCTCCTACAGAGGTATGGTTAGGTATAGGACACGGACGTAAAATTGAAGTATAATATAAGGAAAAGCTGTTAGCAGCACTGGTTATCCATAAATAGTGATTGTCTCTGAAATACATTGGTGTACAAGTCCTACTTTCAGAATATCCTCTCAACCAAATGAAATACAGCTGTATGGTGGAACCCATAAATAGATCACAAATCAACAGGGATATTTATGGCATTTAATGCACAAAATAATTAGAGTACATAAATGCTACAGCCAAAATAGCCTGAAGCAGATGTAAAAAGAACTTGCCTTAGGAATTGTAATTATTTCTGGTGTTTTATCTTTGCTTTGTTGATTAAAGAGGGAAGGTTATGTCCATTCTCAGGTCACTCCTATTTTCATCAAGAAAAGGTTAAGTGCACTTTTTGGAGCAAGATACCTTGCTTTCTTTTAAAGCTTTTTTTTTTCTTTAACTTTTTTTTTTTAAACCCGTTTCTTCAAGGGCAAAACTGGCAGTTATTGTGTGTCCAAAAATTCCTATTGCTTTACACAAGTTTTGGGCATTCAGAATACAAGAGAAAATCCTTAAAAGGAAGGTTTTCCACAGAATTTTCTAGTTAAATATCTGTACAGCTTTATACTTTCTGAAGAACACCGTTACACCATCTCTTTCCTGTTAAAGAAACTACCATAGCCTATGTTTTATGTAGAGTTATATTTGTATAGGAGAAAAGATTACTGTTCTTTGCATGAAGGGGACAAGAGCTCTGCCTAAATCACTGAGCAGTGGAGCCAAGGGGTAGTGATTGAAGCTGCTGTTTATATTGAACTTTAGGCTTCCTGTTCCACATACGGCTCATTGCAGATATGTCTCCTTCCCAGACATACCCTGAAGAGAGTTTCTTGTTTTGCTTGCAAAATATCCCTTGATTCTCTGTGCTGAAGTAGCAGGCTGTCTTGTGACTGTAATCTTCACAACACCCCCTTAAGGAAGGAAACCCTGTCAACATAGATAACAATTATAGTGAATTAAACTGGGATGCAGGATGTTACTTAGTAATACCTGAAGATGGGGTTTCAGAAGGAAGAGTTAAAACTAAAAAAAAAAAATATACTGATTAGGGTAGCAGAAACACACCTTGTGAAGGTAAATTTTGTTTTGCAGTTTGGGATATGGATTTGAACATTGCTTCAGGCTCATTCTGAAGAATGACCCCATCAGTCCAGCTTTATGTCGGCTTGATCCTCCCTCACTTTCCCCACTTGCACCCCTATCAACAGGGTCAGGGGAAATAAAAGAAGATGGATGTATGCCAGGCCACTCATTCTGTTGCTCTGTCAGTAGCTGTCAGCTGCAGATGCTGTCAGCCTTTCACACAACCAGGCTGAAGAACTGTCAGTGCTCAGAGGGAATTTTGAGCTGGATTGGATCAGCTCTCAGACTCCTGTGTCTACCGCAAATGCCAGTAGGAACATATCTCTTCTGATGGAGACTATACAATGTTTTTCGAAATAGCAGAAAGGGGGGGAAGAAGTTCAACTGAAGTTTACTCATAAAACTTTTTTTTTCCTTCATTGTGTTAAGCGGTTTTTTTTATTGTAGGACAAATAGCTATTTGTCTTGTCTATTTGGTCAAGATATGAGAGATGTAGATTACTGTGTACTCCATGAAGATAAGTACCAGAGCTTCATGGCCTGTGTCTTCTGCGTGCATGAGTCATGGCAGGTGGGGAGCTTCAAGGCTTCACTGTGGTCCTTTGTAGACTATAGTTCACATCAGAACAGTAGCTTTAATCATGAAGATGGTGCATGTTTTTTCACATCTGATGGAAGAAAAAAAGGGAAAGCAACCCTAGTCTAAAGACTTTGTCCAAAGTCTGGATTTTTTTGTCTGCAGCTAAGGCTGCCCATCAGAAATAAAAATTGCACTGATTATACCTGACTATCATTTATTTTTATCGATTTCTGTGGGGGGTTATTGTTGTTTTATTTTGGTTTTTTTTCTTTGAGTTTTTTGTTTATTTGTTTGTGTTTGGTTTTTTTTTAAAGAACATTCTTCCTGAATTTGAAAATTTCACTTAATTTGGAAGAATAAGTTACCAAGAATGGTCACTCAGTATAGACATCACCTCTTTCTCTTTTGTGAGGCCTTAAGTACTTACTACATTCAAGAATGTTTACAGAACTAAGGATAAAGCCCCCTCAAGAGTTTTTCATCTTCTATGTGAATCAACATTCAGTAAACAAAATTTAATAAACTATAATTTCTCTATGGGGTAAACTAAATTAAGCTTGTTCTATATACTCACTGTTTTTTGGGTGATTGAACTTTTGTATTTTTTTTGTATTTCACTTGTGGATGACAATGATAGTTTTACGCTTCTACACAGTAGAAGGTACAAAGTAGTAGGAACTTTCTGAAAATCTCCCTTACTGGCATAACTTTATGAAGAATTAATCCTGTCCCTATCTAGAGTCGCCGAATGATTTGGGTTGGAATGGACCTTGACAATCATCATATTGCAACCCCCCTGCCATGGGCAGGGGACTTTCCACTAGATGAGGTTACGCAGAGCCCCATCCAGCCTGGTCTTGAATACCTCCAGGGATGGGAAGTCCACAGTATCTCTGGACAACCTGTTCCAGTGTCTCGCCACCCTGATGGTACAGAATTTCTTCCTAATATCTAATCTAAACCTGTCCTCCTTCAGTTTGAAGCCATTTCCCCTTCTCCTGTCACTACAGGCCCTTGTGAAAAGTCCCTCTCCAGCTTTCTTGTAGGCTCTCTTTAGGTACTGGGGGATGCTATAAGGTCTCCCTCCCTGGAGCCTGCTCTTCTCCAGGCTCTCAGCTTTTTGTCATATAAGGGTTCTCCATCCCTCTGATCATCTCTTTGTGGCCCTCCTCTGTACTCATTCCAACACACCCACGTCTTTCCTGTGCTGAGAACCCCAGAGCTGGATGCAGTACTCCGGGGGGGGGGTCTCACCAGGGCAGGGTAGGGGGTCAGAATTGCCTCCCTCACCCTGCTGACCATGCTACTTTTGATGCAACCCAGGACACAGTTGGCTTTCTGGGCTGCAAGTGCACATTTCTGACTCATGTTGAGGTTTTTGTCCACAACCAAGTCCTCCTCCCCAGGACTAGTCTCAATCCATTCTTTACTCAGTCTATACTAGTGGTGTAAAATATAACCAGGTATGTTACTATCATGCTGTCTAAGCTAAAAATAATCTTTCAAATTTGACAGCAGTAGCTGCAAAGGCTTTTTTGGTTGGTAGCTTTTACTTAACAATCCCTTTTGGTCTTGAAAGGGTAATGCACTAAAAAACTTCTGCACTAAAAGTAGCAATAAATGTGAAATTCTACTTTTGAAATAGGAATTCTCAAACGATGTGCTTGGAAGGAATACTCAAACACAGTAAAAGTAACAAATTAATTTACTTACTGAATAGCAACTCATAACTTGTATTTGTAACCCATCTAAATAACACTAATAATTTTTGTTCACACAGGTTCATTACTTATTTTCCTCATAAGCCTAAAGGCCTTGAATTATTAACTTAGTAGAGATAAGCTTATATGATGGGATGTTTACATGAAGACTACTGGAATTTGAAGAAGGCTATTAATTAAGAGGGAGGAAGAGTTGCCTTTCAGCCAGAGTGGGACACGGAATTGATGATTGCTTGCTTATTTGCAGAAGTAGAAGTTTGGTCTAGGGGTTTAGTCCGTAGTTATTGATGTTTAATTCACATCCATCAGGGACCATATTTGTGGCAGGGGCACTCCTGCAGCACTTGTTTTGCTACCTTCAAAGCTGCCCAATGTCCCTGTGTGCGTAGGCAGTTACCAGGCCACCCTCCATCTTCTCTCTGCTCCTTCAGGCCAGGTCTCCCCAGGATTCCTCCCACTGATGCTTGAGTGGTTCTACCAATGCACCACCACTTCTGAAGCTATCTGGTACCAAAAACTGTGCTTCCATAGGCTGCACCACCTTTTGTGCACCATGGTGGAGAGTGCTGATCCAGGAGAAGAGGCCTGTGAAATTTGGAATGGCAGGTGCAAACCAGAAAAGTCTCTTTGTGAGCTGGGTTTCTGTGCAGAGTGAAAATTCTGACAGGAGAGCAGTGAACAGCCAAGTGGTCTCCTTTTCAAAGGAAAAAAGTTATCTATTGCTCCTGACTGTGGTTTCTGTTTAAGCACTTGGCAGTGGCAGGGAAAAACTCGGTATGTCATTGTCCTCTGATGCAGCTCAGGAAAAACTACTGAGGGTGAGAATTACCATTCTGTTTCTGGACAGGTGCTGTCCTCCTCTTCTCCACCTTCCTTTCCACTCCTGCCTTGTACTTCATTTGCTGAAGGAAAAGAGTCTGCACTGAGGGATGCCTTATGTCAAGCACTGCTCCTAGTAATGTCTTTCTCCTGTAAAACTGTGTCTTGCTTTAGTAGGGAAGGAGCTGTGTTTGCTTCTGTAGTCCAGTCTTTTGCAATGGATTAGGTGCTACTGGAGGGATGGGAAGAGGACCCAGATAACCATGGTAGTGTTTGCTGCTTCATCCTTGCTGCACTTGGCCTGGGCTTTTGCCGCCTTTGAAGTTAAAC